GATTATTTAAGTTAAAAATTCATATTAATTTGAACTGTTTCCTCATTGAGAAGGAAAATTCCTTTGTCAGAGCACTGTGAACCTTTTCATCTGACTTCTGAATCCCATCCCTCTCACCTGGCATCTGTCTCATGAATGACCTAGTTTATGTCTCTAATCTTTTCCTTTCAATTGGCACTTTTCCTTCAGTTTCTGAACATTTTCAAATCTCCCTTATTCACAATCCCCAAATCTCCAGAACAATTTCTCTCAGCATCTAAAACTTCATCTTTTTCCTGGCTTTTACAACCCCTATTATTTCTGAGAGAATGGTCTTCATGTGGCTTTTCATTAATCACCTTCTACTCTCCTTAGCTCATTGCAATTTTGCTTTTTTCTCTGCCACTGTACTTTTACTTGTATCACCAAAGAACTTCCTAATTATCAAATATAATTGTGATTTTTCAGTTTTCACCTACTATGTATTTTCAGCATTTGATAGTATATCACTTGGTGTTCAAAAGTTTAAAAACTTTCTTTTTCCTTGTTGGGAAAGAAACATTTTCCATCACGTCTTGTCATTTTCAATTGCTTTTTCTCATTTTTTCCTGATCCTTTTTCTATACTAGCTTTTAAATATCAATATTCTGTTTTGTCACTTTATCTGTGTGATCTTTCTTTTAAAAATCAATGATTGCCATAGAATAATAGGTCTTAAGTGTTCCTACCACCACCACCCAAAATATGCATGAGAGATTGGCTATGCTAATCTGATTTAGCCATGCCACAATGTACACATATTTCAAAGCATTACATTACATATAAGTATATACAGCTTATATTAGCCAATTTAAAAATTAATTTAAAATGGTTCCTAACCAACGCTACTATTCCGAAAATCTGATTTACTTTCTCAATATTGGATGCCCTTCAACACTCAAAATGTCCCAAATTTAATTGCTATGAATATGCAAAATTTGTTTTTCTCAAATCCATTTAGTTGTTGACTTCAACATCAACTTCTGCCTCTCAAAAAATTCCATACTTTCAGTCACCAAATGCCATTAATTCCATCATTTTTATTCCCCTAGGATTTCATGCCTCCCATGTAGCCTGCTTTAGGTCTTCCCTGTCAATGTGTCCTACACTCAGGAATAGCCTCCTAACTACTTTCTAATTCTAAATTGCTATTCACATTGTCATTTAAATGCTATTTTCACTAGAGATAATTTAGTTAATGTCCTAATAACAAAAATTCATGCATATTGTAGAAATTTTATAAATAAAAGAATAAATGCAATAAAAAAGTAGTTCTTTCCAAGGTGCATCTAGTCTAATATTTTAGTGTATACAATTGAATTTTTCATGTAAAATATTTTTAAATAAAATTAGTATCTTTAGAGATAGTTTGAAATCTTTTTTTACCTTTACAAAGTACAATACATGTTTTATATCAAGATATATTTACAAATAATTTGTAAAGTTTATGTCATGTTTTATTAAAGTATCCTTCTTAATATATATTACAATTAGTTTGGAATATTACCAGAGATGTAGCTCTTTTCTCAGTTTACCCTTTTACCACTAGACATCATGCTATACCAGATACTTGTAAATCTAAATCTTTCTGTGTAATTTTTTAAGAAAAGTTCCCAGAAGTAGAATTACTAAAACTGACATCATAGATATTATAAAGGCTTTTGCTACACGTCTGACAAAATTCCCTCTAGTGAGTGCTATATCAATTTATATTCCCAGTAGTTGTTTGGATTATGTCCATTTTTTTCTACTAAATTTCATCATAAATAACAGTTTGATTAGCAAAAATGACATCTCATTGTTTTAATTGCATGTTTGCTTTTAGGTTAAACTCTAAATACTTCTTTTCCATTTGAGTTACTATTCATATTCTTTTTTTGTTTTTTTGTTTTTGGTACTGGGGATTGAATTCAGGACCTTGCGCTTACGAGGCAGGCAGCAGAACCACTGAGCGAAATCCCCAGCCCATTATTCGCATTCTTGAGTGATATTTTTTTCTGTTGATAATTATCTTTGAAAACCAAATTTTAAGTATATTTTATTTATTCTAAAGCTAATAAAATTTTATCACGTGTTACTGATTTCTTTCCTTAGTATTTATCTTTAAATACAAGTTGATCATTGACTTTTCTTTGTACCATTTTCTTATTCTGACCTATAATCTCTCCCTTTGATTTAAAGGATACTACTCTCACAATAGGGCATTATAATAACAGATTATTTGGCAAGGAAGAAGGCAGGATTATACATAAGTCATCTGTGTATCCTCTTCAGTTGAGCAAACATTTTTCACATACGTGGTACCCACAGGTTTTGAATTGGACTATTCTGATTCCTATCCCTCCACTTTCATTAACACCTGCAAAACTGTGCACATTTTCACCCAGTGCTCCAGCATGTGGAGCTACTTGCTATGTCCTATATATTACTCAAGCACTTTTGGACAATGTTGTTTCTTGTATAGGTAGGGGATCAAGAGATGGAGGGAAAAGGGAGTGGAGGGAAAGGGAATGCACAAAGGAATGAAGGTGGGGTATGCACATTTACCAACTCCCTGCAAGGAAGGTCAACATCATGTACTACATATAACAGCAACAAACTATTCGAGGCTGTCTGGCTATCAGGGTAGTTAAATCTCATTTGGAATTCAAGTTGGCTCAAGGTAACCTTGAAGCCTCAAGTTTCCCAGTCTCTAAAACAGAAGTTATGATATGTATCGAATGCGTGTGTTAGGAGATTTAGATTCTACCCAATATGATGTAAGCAGACAGTTAGTGCTTAATAAATGGCAATTACTATCATTATTATCACTGCAACCTTAGCTAAGAACTTCATGGAGAGATATCCAACTCTTCAATATATATTTTTAGAAAAATTATGTAGCAATAAATTGAAAATGAAATCTGAATGACTAACATATATAATTCTTTAGATATTAAATAGAGGAATATTATTCCGCTTATTAAAATAAAGCATATTGATTCATATAAGCTTTTACTCTTAGTGAGAAATTCCTCATATACACAAATTCTTCAATTCCTATTAGGGAATTAATGACTATAATTAAACTATATTAATACTCATCAAATTTCTGAGCTTAATAAAGCTCAGTTAAATGAAGTTGTAATAGAATTAAGTGATGATTAAAACATTTTTTAAAATCTACATTATACTTCACAGAGATCATATAAGAAACAAGAGTAAGATGATGATCTGTACATTTTTAATCAAATTAAATTAAGCTATTTATGGATGACTTACCCATTTAAAACCAAGATCCACTGTAAGATCTCACTATATTATACTATTCTAAATTTCTATCTTCTTAATTAATATTTCTTTCTGGATGAAATTTCTTACTGCTAAAACTTAGTGCAAGTATTTGACAATGTTTCTCCTTATTTGGATCTAATGTGTTGTCATCAACCAAAGTCCAGTTGGGAGATTACACATCTGAAAGATGAGTTTTAATGAATAATCAGTATAAGAGTAAATTTACTTAAATATTTTTCCCTTGCTCTTCAAAATTTTATGTTGGGGGAAGGTAGCAACCTAGTCATTGAGTATGTTAATGGGCTCAAATGTACACAGAAAAAGAAGGATATCTTTAAGCTGAGAGCAAAAAAACTCTGAGATTTCATATAAATATATATCATTCTTTTAAAAAAAATTTTTGGTGCCAGGGATCGAACTTGGGTCCTTGAGCTTGCACAGCAGGTGACGAAATCACTGAGCTAAATCCCCGAATATATCATTCTTTTTTATAACTGGTAATACAAGAAGAAAAATAATCTTTAAAGTCATTCACAGCTAACATTACACAATAAGAAACTAGGTTTGCTGTTTAAAATATCATTATATTCACCAAATTTCCCACAGATATTTCCAAGCATATTTACGGGAAAATAATGACAATGACACTTGGAATCTCAAAAAAATATGTTTTTACTTCCAAGAGACTGTGGTCAATCTTTAGATATTTGTAAAAGTGCAAAGGAGAAATATAAATGCCAATTCACTTTACTGAACATTTTTTGAATTTAATATTTTACTCTTCAGAATATAACTATGAAATATCAACAGAAGAATATTTATTTTCTGAAGGTTGTATTTTATTTATGTGGCTTGATTCTCTGGAATTTCAGGCAAATACTTTATTGTGGCAAGCTAAAAAATGAATTTTCTATCAACTAAGTATTTTTTTTTTTTTTTTTTGGTACTGGGGATCGAACTCAGGTCCTTGTGCTTGTGTAGCAGGCAGAGAAACCACTGAGCTAAATCCCCGGCCCTCAGCTAAGTATTTGAAGTTGATACTCATGAAAACAGATTTTTAAAATTGTTTCATTGAATTGCTTAAAGAAATAAAATAGATGTTTTATCATTTATTATTTTATAAAAATATTAACATGTTTTAAACTTGTATAATTTTTTAAAATTAGCATTTAATTGGCATTTTAATATGTGAAACCAAAAAGTTACTTATATTAAACAATTCACTTTCTTAACTGTGATTTATCCTAGTAAATTTTATTATGAGGTGAGTGACCTGGTTTGCCTATCCATATTGATTTTAGAACTGATACTGTCCCATTTCGGGAGCCCTCTCCATGCCGGGTAAACGGAGATAGTTAGCACCCTTGTCACAGGTTGCTTAAATACTTATTGCCATAAATGCACATAGTACAAAAAAAAAAAAACACCAGGAAGACTACTCAAATGATGGTCAAATTCATCACAAAGGGAGTAAAGTAGATTTTACTAAATGTAACTTATAAAAATATAATATTGAGGGCTTGGGATGTAGCTCAGTGATAGAGCCTTTTTCTAGCGTGGACAAGACCCTGACTTTGAGTTCCTGTATTCTCCCACCTCCCCAGAAGAGTAAGGGAATGTGTTTCTGTAAAGACTGTTAAAAAAAATCTTGCTACTTAACACTGACAGATTCTAAAAATGATCAAAAATTACCTTAATAAGATACTTACATCTGTAAAAATTCTTCAGAGCCACATACACTGAGAAGATGATCTTTGGGACAGAGCTGGTCACTTGTACATAGGTGTAGAATTTCTGCAATTAAGTCTTTGACAAGATAATCCCCTGAAAACAAACATGAATAATAAAAGGGCTTATCCAACACTGGGTGGGAAACTTTCTAAGCACAAAGAATGATAAGCACATTGTGAAGTGTTGTAACTGTCTAGCTCCTTCAAAGGGGATTAAAATGAGAGACACCACATATATTAGTCTGGTTAGAGTTCAAGATACTTTTGAAAAATGTCATTTGGAATTCTTTTGGTTAGTTCTGTTTCCATAAAATATAATAAAGCTAGGTATTGTGTTCCTCATGTTCAAACCCTTTGTACATTGTATCTCTCCATAAAAGATAATCTGCTGCCATGATATTCAGACAATTTTACAACAATTAACATTTCATTGTCAATGTTCTGCCTCTAAGACCTGAAAATAATTATAGATATCACACTGCTTTAGTTGGTGTACACAGACGAGTTATTTCACCCTTTAGACCTAGCTTCTTTATATGTTTAAAGGTTTGTAATAGCATGGCTTTGTTCCTTCAGGAATTTGATGTAAGGGCAACATAAGAAGTAGACAAATGTAGTCAATCTATTAAAAGGTGCTATGTCCACACTTTGTGTGTGATCTTATGGTCTCAGTCAATGGAAGCAAGTGAAACAGACTGGACTGATGATCAGTAGCCAACAAGAAAATTAGTGCAGCACACTCCACATGGTCAATTGCCTTTGTCTTCAATTTTCTCTACAGCTGTGTGTTCATTTTTCCATGATTTCTTTAAATGACATACTTTTTGTTGGGAGAGAAAGGATTCTGAGTCAAACTAGCTAACAAAAAGTGCTGCAAGTGATATTGCTGCCACAAAGAGAAGAGGAAGTGTATCACGCTGATTTAAGATACACGTCTTACAGTAGATCAAGATAGCTCCTAATAAGGGGCTGGGGAAACATGGTAAAGATATCAGGGAATAATGACTGTAGAAATGCTTTGACATGACAGAGAGAGTTTCTTAAACCTATTACATCTTGGAAATACTGACTGAAATTGTATGAATTGAAGCTATATGAAAATAGGACCACAGGCAAAATCATGACTATGAGGTCTTTAACTAGCAAAGGAGAGGATTTCCAGAATATGATAGCAAATATACCTGAATTGGTGACTTAGTGAATTATTTTGACTCTCCTATCTCTAGTACTAGTACCATCCTACATGGGACATTCCCTGTACTATATGGGGGCATGCATGAATTAATTATTCCTTTGTTACAATTATTTTTCTGTTTTATGTGAAATTCCTATTTCTCCTCTCCCGTGCTTTGGTTTTATAGGGTGAAGGGGCAGGATCCCTTTCTTCTCTATCATAAATTTCATAATTGACACTCCTATAACAAAAGACAAGATGGCAAGAAAAAAAATAACATCTATTTAAACAAGATTTTATATGACACAAGACCCTTCAGAAATGAAGAACCTAAGAAAAGCCAAGAAAATCCATGCAGCTTCTTATGCTTAGATAAAGAATGGCACCTAGGTGGAGGTTGTGACCGGATAGAAAGGGTCTGAGCTAACTAACAGACTGGATGAAGAAATGCAGCAGGGCCTGTCTGGCTTCTTGGCTTCTCTGTGTAGCATTCCCTTCTCCTTGGGATGGGCAAAGATCTCTTCTGAATGAAGGTTCTAGATTTCCTATCCACCAAAGTAGGTCATAGAATTTCTTTATGGACAGCTATACACAGAAAGGAAGAGGAAGTTTAGAGTAATATTTCTAGGTTTTATGACTGAATTTGGTGGTGGTGGGGGTAAGCAGTCTACCGTGGGAGAGAAAAATACAGCAGGAGAAAGAAGGGGTGGAGAAGTTCAGGAAGAGACTTGGCTCCTGAGGCCTTTCTAGTGCCATCCAGATCATGCTAAAGTGCTGTCCTTCGGAGAACTGTTTTCTGAACTCCAGCAGTTTGATATCTCCTACTACCTGTTCCATGATATTCTTTGGATGTTTGCTTATTACTACTGCAAATTCAGCCTGTCTCAATATGAAATCACTGTCTTTCTCCTTGAAGGCAACCATTAAGTTTGTGAGTAAAACTTTCAACCACATTGTGAGCCAACAAGTACTGGGGTTTCTTTGAAATAGACTTTGTACCTTTACTTCTATTTTGATCACTGATATAATCTTTTTTCCAGTTTCTTGTAGTCTTCCACTCCATATAGTCCTTGCTGTTAACCACATTGCCTAACATATTGAAAGGCTAAGACCAACTAGAGAATCTTCCATTATACTATTTTGGGCCTTACATCTAGTTTTTCACTCATCTTCTATTCCTTCATACTCTTAGGATATATATTTCTCTACTTTTTTGCTAAATCTTACTCCTTCATCTACATTCTTTATTCTTACACTGGGTTCTAATTCCATCAATCAAACTCCTTTTGTATTACATTTTGAATATCCTGTGCTTTAAAGATATTTTAAGTATCATCCATTTCTGTTTATACTTCCCCAAAAATCTCCCCTTAACCTTTCAACTCCTTGATAGTATTCCTTCTTTTACATTTTCTTTGTCTCTAAACTTGCTTAAAGAAAAGACTTCTGCTAACATGTCTCAATTACTTTTAAATTCTTGTGAGTTGACTTCTACTTCCAAACCTTTTCAGGTCGCAAATAGAGTTCAGGTCTAAATAAAGTCCAACTGTGGGTCATCTATGTCTAGAAGATAGATGAAAGTAAAGACACTGGATCTAGTGTAACTTTGTGATTGAAATTAAGGACTTTATCTTCATTGAAATGGTAGGTGAAGGTTACGAAGCAGAATGTTTCTTGGTTTTTAAAAACAAACCTGTTTTCCTCAAAGTATTCCAGTTTGTAAGTCTTGTAGAATTTTCTGTGAATGGAATCCCTTCACCTGTGTCTTCCTTTTACCAAGATTTCATTGTTTCTTACTTCCTAGCAACAGCTTCTATCATTCACTGAAGTCATTCTTAATCCTTCCTCCACACTTTTCCTCTTTTGTGAACATTTGCAATACTAATCACTAATGTAAATTCACAAAAGCATCACAATTTGGGTGTAAAGACTAAAGTGAAAATATTTGCAATATTATCTGTAATATCCTTATTTGACTAAAGCCACGAGTCTCCAAAATAAAGCTGCTATCAACTCCCTTCTGAGGGAATTATCTGGATCTTCCAGGAAGGAGATAGATTGCCCATTCCATTAGCAATAAAATATTCAGTGCAACCATTTATATTTCCTACTGAAATCCTAAAACTCCCCATTTTTTTCTACTAGTATATAAACATTTATCTCTGGATTTCAGTTATTCATTATTGAATGACCTCCTTATACATGCATAAATATTCTCCCCCCCTTAATCTGTCTATTGTTAGTTAATTAAAAAACCCTTTTCTCACCCTCAGTCATTCATATCTAAGTGAGTAAAGGAAAAGTTTTTCTGAAAACCATAGCAAATACTACCTTGCATGTTTTCATGAATGTCTTTTGTCCTTTTTTTTTTTTTTGGTACTGGAGATCGAACTCAGGACCTTGTGCTTGTGAGGCAGGCTGCTAAACCACTGAGCTAAATCCCCGGCCCCTTTTGTCCTTCTTTATATCATCTACTTCCATTTTGCTTTCTCTTCTTCTTCTTTGTATTTAACATCTTTAGGGCATGGATATCTTCTTCATCACTTTGCAAATCTAACACTAAACACAGTGCCCTAATCACTTTACTGAAACCACTCATAAAAGTAAAAAACGGCTCTAGTAGAAGTAATCTCCTTGGTTCATAGTTATTCCCTCTCTGGCAGCTGAAGCCAACATGACTCGGACCCATGATCATTCTGGTTAAGTCAGGGTGTAGCATTATCAATTTTGGCTGAGCAATTGGAACCCTGCTTTTAGAAATTAGGATTTGGATCCAGACAGACTTAACTATCTTTAGTTGGCTGGCCAAACAACACATATGCTTGTGACCCTGGGTACTCATTTTGGAGAAGCAAGAGAACAAATTAGCAGAGAGCAAGCAAGAAAGATATGGTAAGCAATTGCACAAAGAGATGAACTCAAGGTCATAAAGAACCTTGGGACTGCTTTATAATTTGTATTTTTAGAACATTCCTAATTCTTTGATGAATTCCTGCTCTCACATTCTGTAAGAAATCCATGTATATATTTTGAGAAATGTTTTATTTCTGCTTAAGGCATCTCAGGAGTTGGTTTCTGTTAGCTTCAAACAAGATGGTCCTTACTAATTTACGAACACAGTATTGTTGTTTATAATCATCTGTACTTATTCAGAGCCTTGACTACAGTAAGAAAGAGGAAAGCATAATAATAAATAATAAATAATAATCAATGAATACAAGAAACTATCGGATCACCTGTCAGGAAACACTTTCCCGTTGTTATATAAAAACTTAATAATGATTAAATGTTGTTTAAAGGACTAACATTATTTTGCAAGATAGCAGACTATAATAGTGCAATAAGATACCAAATTACTATAAAGATATTTTAAGACTATAGAAAAGGAAAAATCATCTAGTGAGTTTGATAAAATGTAAATTTCTGGGATCCATCCCTAGAAACTCTTAGCCAATAGATCTGCTACTGACGAGTGGGCTGCACAGAGCTAGTGGCATTCTTACTATGACAATAGAGATTTGTGTGACAGTGCCTATTCTGTATGATAATTTATTCATATTTGAATGAAATAGTTGCTCCTAATGGATAGGAATAGTCATTTATCACACTTCATCTTTATCTAGAATCTTTTCAAAATTTACTTTTTAAAAATATGTGGAAAACTTGCTACACTTACTAGTAAAAATTGGTAGCAGAAATATAGAGAATTTTGTGGTTAGCTATGTGGAGAGAGTTACTGAAGACAACTTCTCCCCCTAATGTACCTCAAATGTTAGCAAATGGCTCCCAACTGTTTTCCTTTTATTTCACTTGGAGCGAAATAATATAGAACAGTGCTCCTTCAAATGATTTCAGTCTCGTTTCAAGGTTATGTATCAACATCAGCTTCATAAAGATTTTTATATTTACTTAAAAGTTTGCTTACCATATGGTGTAAGATGAAGTAGTTGTCCTGAATCATCAATAAAAATACTGAGGTTGAACTTGCTATTAGAAAACAGCTGGAATGGAAATGCAGTAATGGGGCTCCAGATCTTTCCAGAATTGGAATTAATGTCAGCTGCATGATATGTTTCTCTTATTCTGAAAAGTATATGGGAAAAAATGTTTAGGATAAGAGCTGCATAATTTAATCTGAAAAATATCATCCACAATATAATTGCAAGAGAATTCTGCAGTGTTTAGCTTCAGAAGATTTAAAACATGAAAACAACCAATTACTGACTTAAAGAACAGTCCATTTACTTAGGCCAGATTGGTAGGTATTATATTTAGACCAAGAACAAATGTAAAGGGTTGTTCTCTAGACTTTCTCAGAAACACCTCATTTGAAGTAATTAAGAGGACATTGTCATAAACATAATGTTACCAGGCTCAAGGGTGCTAGAGTCTCCTTTAGAGGTAATTTTTAGTTTCTTTAGGTCCAGCACAAAGAATTGAGGGAAACAAGCATAAATGGTGGCAAAGTCTTACCTTAGGAAGGTAGGGAAAAAAACAGGCTCTGGAGAGCGAGTTTGGACTAAGTAAAAGTAGGAAAAAGGAGAAAAGAGGAAAAAAGAAAAAAGAGAAAAAATAACATACCCTCAGGGTCTTCACAGTGGGCTACTGTGAAGACACCGCAGCCAGGACTTAATGGCTATGGTCCCTTTTTTGTATCTCCCATGCTGGCGTCACATCCAGGTCATCCTATCAGAAACCTGCCCGAGTTCTCGCAAGAAGTTAACATGCAGGGCTTTGGGAATGGTTCTGCACAGAAACTTCCTTTCCCAACCAGTTTTACTCATACCCTATCTTCCTGCCTCAATAAAACACAAGAATTCACTCTGAACATTATCACGTGCTTCATAGCCTTTGCTTTTGATGCCTGAATCTCTCCTCTCAGATTTCTCTCATGGGTATGCTTCTCAAGTTGCAAGTTCACTCATTTTGATTTAGAAATACTGGTAAATAAATTCTCTTGTTTGGGTTGGATTTATAAACACTATTTTTGGTTCTCTGTATTTTTAAATTTTTGTATTTTATACAAATAGGTAAGCATGGAAGTCAGGAGTACATTCTGAACACTTACTTATTGCATAAATGGGTCAAAGAATTGCAAAACAGTCTGAAGCCTTGAGTGTGAATCCTTGTGCTTCCACTTAGTAGTTATGACCAGAGGCAAGTTATTTGACTAGTTTCTTTGTTTGCACAAAAGAGGGTATTACTATCTGCTTCAAAGGTTTCTTGAGATGAGAAAAGGCATATAAAAGATATGCAGAATGTTAAACAATGTGAAGTGTCATAATTATCATTATCTCTCACCATAGCTTGATCCCTGGAGACTCATGTTTTATTGCCGACATGTAGAATATTTACAAGTAGATATTTAAAATGCTTTTGAAGATGAAAATGGAATCTTGAGTTCTTTTAGCATTAATTATGTTGACATCTAAATTTTCCCTAACTTGAAAATTATACTTTCTATATTGATACGTTGCATCCTTAGCATCCACCTTATTCATATCGTGCAGTGTGAAAGTAGTGCCAGCCCTTGAAGTTGCTCAAATAACTATCCTCTTTAGATTCCATGGAAACATCCTATGAAGAGCTCGACAAGTGGATCTGACATCCATCAGTGTCACCTTTTGTTCTGGGTCCCATCCCCGTAGTTTCTAATTCAAGATATCTGTGGAGGGCCCCCAGATTTGCCTTTATCACAGTTTCTCAAGTAATCTGCTGCTACTGCTGCTCTGACACTGCAGTTTGAGAACAACTGCTAGGACAAAGGTATGGACCGCTCTCTCTGTCACACCCTACCACAAAGGTTAGAAGGCAGTCTTGGATAGAGATAGATGCGCTTTGTGACTTAGCATTCACCATACGATAAGATACTATTCAATGCATACATGATTTCAGGTTTTACCCTTCTGAGGATTAAATTTTAATATGCAAATTCATGACTTTTTCCTAAACCTATACTGACATCTAATACAGATCAGGAATTTCTTCCATGTGCTTTGGCATCTCACTATATATATGTATACGTATATATATAAGTATATATATATATATTTTGGTACCAAGAATTGAACTCGGGTCCTTGTGCTTGTGAGGCCACTGAGCTAAATCCCCGGCCCCAAACCATGTATTTCTGTGCTGTTTTTTTTTTGGGGGGGGTACCAGGGATCGAACTCAGGACCTTATGCTTCTGAGACAGGCACAGTGCCACTGAGCTAAATCCTCGGCCCATCACTATATTTTTTATTAGAAAGTGACATATTTCTTGAAAGATGCAACTTTAAAGTATGTCACAGCAAGAAACCAAACCCTATTAGCTAGAAAAGCTCTTTAACAGAGGTATAATAGATACTAATAACATATGGAAGTGTGCTTATTTAAATATTTATTATTTAAATATTATAAAAATACATGCAGTTAGAAATATAAATCTACTTTATCATTGGCATTTCAGAAGTTTTGGAGAACCTCATGTGAAACTTGGCTTTGAAATTCAATTTGATCTTCTTTTGCATCCTTAGCAGTCCCCAGAAGGGTAAAAGCTGAAATCATGTATGCATTGAATAATATCTTATAGCATGGTGAATGCTAACTCATAAAGCTCTTCTATCTCTAGCCAAGAGTGCCATTTAAATTTTTGTGGTAGGGTGTAACAAAGGAGAGTGGTCCATTTCTTTGTCCTGAGCAGTGGTTCTCAAACTAAGAAGTGCCAAGTATACAATGGGTCCTCAGAAATATTTATTGTGCAAATAGTTTATGTGTAAAATAATCGTGACTATATACATTCAATCATCTTATGGATGAAAATTTACTGAAAATCAAGGAAAGTGCATGTGAATATAATCTTCAGTTCCTTTTTGTACTTTAAAGTTACTGTTTGGTTGTTTTAGTGCTCATGGTTATTTGAAAGGAAACCATTGAGAAAAGATACATTTAAGAGTTTGGGAATGCACCGTAATCTAGTAACAAAACATAACATAAAATATTTTCATGTCCCTATTGCATCTACAATGTTTCACTTAAGAATATAAATTATGTTTTGAAAAACAAAGTTGCTGGAGGAGCTCATAATCAGAATAAGTAGGGTTATACCAAGGAGTGATATCTCACAGCATTAAGAGAGTTGTTATGTTTTTACCTGTTATGTCTAACAGGTAAAAAATATACAATAAAGTGGTAAATTTTTAGCAATGCTTGTCATTTTATTACAGTGAGTAGCTTATTCCTTTTTTTTTTTTTTTGGTACTGGGGATCGAACTCGGGATCTTATGCTTGCGAGGCAGGCGGCAAAACCACTGAGCTAAATCCCCAGCCCAGTAGCTTATTCCTAAAAGAGTTGATGTTGATAACATTGAAGATCCTGATTTAGAAATTCAAAGTACCATTTAAAATTTTCTTCTGTAAACCTAAGCAAGACATTAAAGAGTATTTTTATGGATTTGAGATGATTTGTTTTGTATTTTTGTATGCTTGTCTTCATTCTTCAAATCGTAGTTACAAGTTTTTTGCTTTTTTGTTTGGTTGTTTTAAATCTTGGTATCTCTAAATCATTAACAAAGTAGTTATTAGACACCGAAATACCCTTTAAATTAATGATTGAATAATTTACTCAAATTTTGCCAAACGATCATTTAGTAAGTTAAGCCTTATAAATAAATAAATATATAAAATATTATATTCAGAATAATAACCATAAATGGATGAAAGCCAAGAGGACAAAAGATAAATGCATTAAATTTTCAAAACTTTTACGTCTAGAAATAGATGGCATTATTTAAATTTTAATTGCTAATAAGAAATTCGTATTGTAGAAAGCATCTATTTTTATATCATAGATTTATGTTTAGGTTAGCAAAAAGATAAATTTTTTGTAACATCCTCTAGTGATGAAATTTGTTTTTAATGGATGCACATGTAATTTAATATTCTGAAAAACCATTAAAGATAAGACTTAACTAGTAAGAAGGAGGCATTCATAGAATTCTAAATAGAATGTCCTAGGTAGAAAGGATAATCTGTATTAAATTGGGACTGAGCCAGAAAAGTCAGATATTTATGGTATTAAATGAAAAATTAATTTACTGCCAACCGAATTACCAACAAACAGTAAGGGCAGTTCTGAAATTATGAAACATTCAACTTTAATCAAATTTTAAGAGGAAAATATCTACTTGACTATAAACATCAAAACCAATAATGGGGCCCGGGGATTTAGCTCTGTGGTTCTGCCACCTGCCTGGCAAGCACAAGGTCCCAAGTTCGATCCCTGGTACCCCATTCCTCCAAAAAGAAAGAAAGAAAGAAAAAACAATAACAGAAGTTGATTTTTAAACAAATTTTGACCTTTAATGAAATAGCAATAACTCACTTTTTCACTTTGTCACAAAAGGAGGCCAGAGTCATATTACTGCCTTGCAATACTTCAATGATCTGAATGGAACAGCCTATTGGCTTAAAATAAAAATGGGTAAATTAATATGGTTCACTATAGAGAAAAGATTAATACAATTCTACAATGTTTATACTGTTTTAAAGATTTTGTGATTTATTATTCAAGTAATACATATGGAAAATGAATATAACTTAAGTGTAAAGTTTGTATTTGAGGAATGCATGCAACTGTGAAACCAACACCACAATGAAAATATAAAACATTGTGTCACTTTAGAAAATTTCCCCCACATTTCATTCTAGTAAATTTGCAACCTATTTGGTAATGTATTCAGATTTCTATCACCATAGTTTAGGGGTATATACCCTTTTGGTTTGGGTTCTGTCACTTAAATAAAATATACTTCCAAAGTTTACTGATATCGTCACATATATAAGTATTTTATCATTTTTATTGAGAGTTAGTAGCATTCTCTTTTTCTAATCCATGATTTGTTTAGACATGTTCCTATTGATGAATATTTGGATTATTTTCAGCTGTGGGGTATTGCAAAGAAAATGATTAATTGTTATAATAAGTCACTATGTGGACATTTGCTTCATTTTGGGGGGAAGTTATGCATAATGGTTCAGTCAGAGAGTAAATAAATGTTTGGTATTAAAAGAAATAAGTTTTGGTATTTTTGAAGCTGTGTTATTAGGTGCATATGGATGTAAATTTATTATGTCTGCTTGGTTACCCTTTTCATCATTACAAAATTTTTTTTTCTCTAATAATACTCTATTTTAAACTGCACGTTTCCTGACCTGATATTTATTACCACACAAGTTTTCTTTTTCTGGTTGAATGCTAAATCCTTTTGTTTCTTTTGCTTTCAGTCTTTGTGTTTGTTTCTTAGGAGGATTTTTTTTTTTAACCTAGTCACTTTCTATTTCTGATTTGGAAAGGTTAGACTTCATAGTCATTTTATGGAGGTTGTTGGATTTGAGACTACCATATTTATATTTGCTTCTATTTGTCTCTTTTTATTCTATTTTCCTGATTTTTTCAGTTCATTTTAATTTTTCCTATTTAATTCCTCTGATAGAGTCCCTCTGGTGTCATTTTCCTCATACCTGAAACATTTCCTTTGGTATTGTTTCTTCGTGGCCGTGTCAGCAAATTTTTTTCAATACTCTTTGTATGTCTTTATTTCATTTTCAGTTTTGAAACATATACTCAAAGGCTATAAAAGTATCCTTTATGATTCTTAAAGTATTCCTTATTAAGGTCATTAAAAGTTGTAAAAACAATTTTCTATTATAAAGGCACAGGGGGACAGTTCTGATAAAATATTCAAATTATACAGTAATTTACAGTACTGTACTGAAGACAATTTTAATACACATACAGACCCCAAAAATCAGATTCAAAAATATTTTACTAGATTTCTTAATGGGCAATGATTAAAATATAAATTGCTGCTGCACAATGGATATCTAATAGTGACCATCTTGGCAGCAAAGTGAACAAAATATTTATTGCTTTTCACATAACATATTTTTCTCTAAGATTAAATTTCCAATTCTTTTACTGTCCTCTGAATCTTTTTAAGAAAGTACATGTAATCTCATGGTGGGGTAGTTATAAAAAACTACCTCAAGTAGCAATCACTGCTGGGAGTGTTTCCTCACTTCGTATTCTGTAATCACAATTACAATTACACTTCCAAAAGGTAAGACAGATCTTAGTTAACCCACAGACAAGTCCTTCTTGACTGGCAATCTAGTATTTGTAAGGAATACTTATCAAACCTAACCCTTTTGAAATTATGTATTTTACTCATAGTTTTCATTTAAAAGGTGAAAGTTAGACAAATGATTTTTCTTTTCTGCTCCTTCCAAAGTCTTTCCAAAGTTATAAAAAGTCAAGCTTAGTTCTTCTTTAAGAGAACTTAAAAATGTCATTCCATTGTCTTTTTTCTATTGCTTCTGATAAGAAGTTGCTTTTATTCAGATTATAATTCCAATATTTGAAACCTTTTCCTCCTGTCTGCTTCCTTTTAAGATTTTTCTTTACCCCCATTTTTAGGTGTTTGAGTATAATGTGTCTACCTGTGGTTGACTTTGTATTTATATTTTCAACCAAATTAGAGAAATTTTCTGACCATTATTTCTTCAAATTAAATTTCCTCTATTTTTTTTTGTTTCCTGCTAGCATTTCAGGTGTCTGTATGTCATGCTCCTTGACTCATCACTCTGTTTCTTTGACTTTTCTCTTCAATGTGGATCGTTTATATTGCTTTGCTTTCAAGTTTATTCCATTCATCCTGTCATTCCTCCTAATGTGTTGTTAGGCACACCCAGTGACTTTTTCATTACAGACACTCTTTTCAGTACCTGAATGGGCATTTGTTTTTCTTTATTTTTCCATAACTTGTAATTTCTTTCTTTTTTTTTTTTTGGTACTGGGGATCAAACTCAGGACCTTGCGCTTGTGAGGCAGACGTGGTGCCACTGAGCTAAATCCTCAACCCTCTATAGCTTGTAATTTCTTGTTGAGATCTCATTGATTACCCACTCTGAACATCTTTTTACGTCATGTGTACTTAGCACTGACTTTAGGCTTAGCTCAAAGATTCTACTGCCTGGGTAATTTTCTTGATTCAAAAAATTCTTTTCTCCTTTACATATCTATGCCTTTGTTGGTGTATACTGAATATTGTAGATGGCACATTTTGTGAATTGTAGTTTTTAAAAAATAGAATGTTGACTTTTTCTTTGGCAGAGTGATAACATCCACTTAGTCATGTCATCCTTGTTTAAATATTTTGTTGAGTCACATCTATTTTGGTTGGTATAGTATTCATCTTAGAGAGTGACTTTTACTCTTAAAATTTGATTTTGTGGAATTTCATTCGAATGCCAGAAGTGCTCTGCTCGGTCTCTTTTCTACTTTTTCCATAACCCCAAGGTTGACAATCTCTATCCAGCTCTGCAAGTACATCCCATTACTGGGCAGGAATGTGCAACAAATTCCTTGTAGACTTCAGACCCCCACTCAATACATAGCTCCCTCTTCTGATCTGTAAGCTATATAGCTGCTTCTACAGCCTGCAATTAACTGTAGCTCAGTGACTTTATATTTAGCAGTAGGGAAGTTTAGTACTGGATATACTATCATATGAACCAGTTATCTCTAGGATTTGACTTTTAATTTGGGTTGTTTGAGGTTCTGCTCCACTGCAAGCACATCAGGTAGAATTTGGTGTTTCTTCTACTTGTACTCCCCCCATCTGTTGTTTTATGGTGTTGACATTATTTACAAGCTAATTGGAATTGTAAGATATTCATAAACTCACATTACCATGTCTTCTTTGCATCCTTTTTGCCTAGCTTACAACAATATATTTCAAAGATGTGATAGATAGTTGTTGACTTCTTCTGGCATTCTCTGAAATTACAGTTGTAATAACATTTCTTCTTTTCTACCATTTACTTCTTTTTAAACAGTATAAGCAGAGACATCTTCAACAATTGTACTGGAAATTCTACGGTTACTGACATGATTGGAAAACTACTGATGAAACTATTAAAATGACTCACACAATATTGCTAAATTTTCTTCTATTGGTATGAACTCAGTCGAAATTGCCTGCTAATAATACAATTGAGAAGTCTCTGCATAAAAGGACTTTTTTTTCCCCACCTTTAATGATAATGGCATTTTAGGTCATCACAGTGTGACTGAAATAGAAATTATATATATGTGTGTGTGCGTGTGTGTGTGTGTGTGTGTTTATATATCTGCCTAACACAATAAGAATAGAAAACATTATCAGTTAATCTTCAAACTATCATATTTTTATTCAATAAAATATAAGTACTCTAGCATTTTATTTAGTTTGATGAAACTGGACTTTATAAATTATATCTTTAAAAAATATTTCTTTTTTTCTCAGAAATAACCATTAGTACAATAACATGGAATTTGAAAATAAATGAAAAATTAAAAAAATAATTTTAGTAGATTTCTCAATCTAGTTACCCTCATTGGCAATTAATCAAATAAGTGATTGCATGATTTTTTCAGTTTCATATTTGAATATGAATTAATCATGTTGCACATACCTCTATGTTTTCTGGCCGTGTATTTTCCCGTGTTCTGGGCAAAAAAGAATCTTTAAAGAGCATTGGAGAAGGATCTACAGTGTTGACATTTCTACTTCTTTTATTCTCGTCTTTTGGCATGAAGTCAGTTGAGAAGGATGAGTATACATGAGAAATGCTTTCAAATCCTATATTGTAGTTATGATTTTCATTTTTCAATTCTCTTTGTGGATTAATTTTATCCAAATCAGTGCATGATGGATGCACAATACTGGAACCATCACCGCCATGATATTTTCTTATGGAGTTTCCCCAAGAGCTTTGTTTATTCATCACTTCTGGTTTTTGTAGCACAGAGGGATTAAAACCAACAGCTACAGTTTTCCCACTTTGATTCCAAGAAAGTTCTGGGCTTTTAGAAGGAAATTCATTCAAGGGCATTTGGTGTGTTCCAGCCAACGAATGCCTTTTTGAGTCCCAGTGTAGTGCATGGGGCACATAAAGGGTGTTTTCTGGAATATTTCTCTGATAAAGTGGAATTTTATTACTGATTTCATTCACTAGCTGATCAAAACCCAGACTGACTTGGCTAGAAGAATGAGATTGGTTTACAGAGTGAAAGTCTCGGTGTTCATACTGTTCTTCATGTGTTTCATTGGGATTTGCATCTGACTGCCAACTGTACGCCATTCTTTATGTATTCTTTTATAGCGTAACAGGATAGACCTTTTCCTAGAAAAACGACATAAAAGGAAACAAAAAACTTCAGCAATAAAAAAACTTGCAAGAAAGAAATATACTGAATATATATACATATATTTGTGTATTTTGAAGTTTTTCTCTGGCAAATAGAATCATTTCTTGAATACTGTAAAATTACATAAAGTCTCATAATGTTACAAATTGGAGGGAGAATACTGACTTTGGAAGAACTCATGGAAACTTCTGTGATAGAAAAATAAGACCACTGCAATTATCATGAGTGGTTCTTAAATCTATCCAAAATCAATATTCCCCTTTGAACTTTCTTTTCCACTGAATATCCACTTGCCTATGACATCAGTAATTCCTTCTGCAGTCCATCATCTGTAAATGTATTTGCATGGGAATGTCTCTGTCTTAGTAAGCTAAAATCTCCTCAATTAAAAACTACCCCAGCAATAGACATAATCTTAACTCTCTTTCCCCCTCTATACCCAATCATCTAAAAGTGGTTGGCCGAACCCCTCCCTCCCCAAAAGACTTTAAATAATTGCAAAGTCTTTTATTTACATCTTTAGAACTATTTCCACTAAGTTTGTCAGTGAGATTTCTATCATTAAATTCAAGTGATATTTTTAGTCCTTTAAAATATTTATTGCTGTAAACTATTGGATTCTTTTCATGACACTTCTTAAAGTTCCTTGATTTCTTATGTTGAGTTGTTGGGATATTGCATTCTCTAAATTTCTCTTTGTTCTTTCTCAAACAGCCCTTTGCTTACTAATTATGTTCTACATGATCCCCGTCAGAGTTTATTTTCTTCTAAATTATTCTTATACCTTCTGTGGTTTAAATTACCATATATTTGTCAATTACTCCATCCTAGGTTGCTTTTATTACCTAGTAACTACATCCACTTTTTTCTTTTAAATCTCTAACTGAAAGTTTAAAATTTAAATCATAATTCACCCATAATTCACCCTATACCAGTGTTCTCCGTAGCAGAAAATGGTCTGACCTTCCACTCAGTTCCTCCAACCCGCAACCAAGATTTCATCTTTAGACCCTTCCTCACTTTTGTTGTTCTGTATCCATGAACCCAGCAGTCTGTTTAGAGTGTATCACAGAAATACGCCTGGCCTCTGTCCTCCCCTACCAGAGCCCAATCCTACTTTAAATCTTTTAGTTTTAAAATTTGGATGCTGGATTGTTTCTGAATCTGGTTCTATATTTGTTGCAATCCATTTTTTTTGTACTCTACTATGCATTTTCACACTATAATGTTATATTTAAGACATAACCAAATATCTTTTCTAGTTATGGCTTTTCAGTGGTTCTGCAGTGTCTTAGGAAAACATTTATAATTCTCGGGTGACTTGGGAGCTCCTTGATGACCCAGCCACACTCTCTCTGCTTGGTGTGTGCTGCTTAGCCTCATTCTCTGTGGAATCTCCTGACCTTCCCTGGCTGCTCAGAAAGACGTTCTTTCATACTGGCCAGCATATGCCCAGGGTCTTATCCTAGGTGCTCATCTTACTTCTTCCTGAATAATTCTTTCCCACTATTTAAGATTTACTTGGAATATGACTTCTGCAAGGAAGCTTCTTTGAAATGCCCTCACTAGGTTAGAATTGTTCTACAAGATATTTTCTACACTTTGTACTTCGCATTGATGCTAATCATCACACTTGTAATTACACATGTGACATTTCTTTTCTCCATTAGATCATTCTACTGTGTTTGTTTTTCTTACTTGGATCTGAATACCTACTGGTTCTTTTCATTTAGAGTAGATGCTTATTTGTATTTGTTAAATGTTTCAATAATTAAAATTGAATTATGAGAAAATGAAGTTTAAAAATGCGTATATCACTTTCTTGGATTTATTAAAATTCTTACCAAGAATGAGTGCGTATGTTTTGATTTGATTTGTTTTTTTTTTTTTTTGCAACGTCAGAAAATGTATTTGGCTTTTATTTCTTTCTAAAATAAGTGCATACAAATACGGCTAGTAGCATTTCTGATTTGAGTGCGTATGTTAAAGACAAAATTTTTAAAGGATATTTTGACCATGACTATAAAATACAAATTTCTGTCAATCTTTTTTTTTTTTTTTGCAATGAAAATTCATGTTATTGTATTGGCATCCATGATTTTTTAAAAATGCATAGTCATTTATGGATTAAATGAATTGGATTTATTATTATTATCATTTTGCGGTACTGGGGATTGAATTCAGGGCCTTCACATTCAGCTACATTTCCAGCCTATCTTAGAATTCAGAGACAGACTACTGCTAAGCCACTATGTTGGTTGGGCTGGGCTCAAACTTGGAATTCTCCTGCCTCAGATTTTTAGAGTGCTGGGATAACAGACAGATGCCACCATGCCTGGTTGGATTTATTATAAATATTTAGTTGAGAAACTGAACTGAATTGGGAAAAATTTTTAAAAGATGTGTGTAGAAAGTGACAGAATGAAGGATTAACCAGAAAAGTGAATCTTAAAATATTATTTGAAACTATTCTAATAATTGAGTGACATAGAATTATTATTATATAGCATAAATCACTTTTTCAGGAACTTTTTTTTAAATCTCTTTGTTTGTGATGGAAGTTGTATTTCCTTAAAACAAATTATATTTCTTCATTTTTCTCTCATGTAACTCAGAACTTTTAAGAGGGAAGATTTTAATTTTGACATCCAGAGTCAATATCCTATTCTGATGTTCCTTAGTCTGAACTGTTCATCTTTGTGTTATGATGGTGAATGTAGCTATCGGAAAACTTTCACCACTTTTGATAGTTTCTAAATCTTGATTTTTGTGAGTTTATTTTTTTTTAATTTTGCAGAGCCACAAGGGAAATTTTTAAATAAGAAATGAGTAGTGTAATACTGAAATTAAAGATTTCCCTCAGCTGGATCACCTGTGTTGTTAATAATGGTCATGATAATGATGACTAATAGTTTTGAGCTCCTACTCTATGCTAATACTCTGTATATACACCCACATATTTGCATGTATTATTCTTCACATCAACCTCATGTAATCCATAATAATATTACCATTACTAAACATAGTAATATTACCATTACTAAACAAATGAAAAACCTGAGGTGCAAAATGCTGACCCAACTTATCTAAGATGTCAGAGTTTGTATTTCACAGATTTATCCTAAGTGGAGATTTTTAAAAAGACACAATGATGAACATGCCATATCAAAATGCTATCCAGTGCATGCCTGGATTTAGGAATGCAGTACAACATGGACTCACCTAAACTGTTTCTACAGCATACAGCAAAAAACTTAAAAGTTTTTTAATAATGGTGTCTTTTCCAGGACTACTTATTCAAGTTCAAAATGAGTTCGAAACCTATACAAAATAAAGGAGAGTAAGAAACTTTTTCATATTGCAAATGTAATTTAAAAAGGGCCAGGGATTTAGCTCAGTGGTGCCACTCCTGCCTCACAACTGCAAGGTCCTGAGTTTGATCCCTGGTACAAAAAAAAAGTGAAGATGTAATAAAAACAAAACCTCTTCCACAAACCATTTTTAATATCAAATTTGATGATTTTAAGGCCTTTCTTGTAACTTAAAATTTCCTCTTAACCATCAGAATCTAGAAGCTGGAATCTTTTTAAGTTTATAAACAAAAATATTACTTAAGGCCATCTGGTAAATATTTTTATTCTGCATTATGAAGGAATGTATTAAATAATTAAGTCATATACCTTTGTTCTGATTCAGAAACACATATGTAGTTTAGTAGCAATCGTGTCATAATCGAAAGGGCATGGCTGTCAGTCTCCAATTTAAGTAAGACTGCAGAACTATAGAACATGTGTGCAGTAGGCAAAATTATGCCTTGCCAAATATTTTCATGTTTTAATCTCTGGATACTGAATTTCAAAAGTTACATGGCAAAGAGAATTTAAGGCTACAGGTGGAATTTTTCAATCATTTAATCTTAAGAAATAGAGAAGTTTTCTGGCTGAGCCAATGTAAGGGTAGGTAAGCAGCAGAAATCATCAAACAGATGGAGTGTTCCAAAAATACTGGATGTTTAAATTTTTAAAATGCATACAGTGAAAGACACATTGCCATTAACCTCCCTCAAAATTCTTCCCCTCACTTTGAAGACACTCATTCCACGTTCTTGCCACTTTTTGAAACATTTATGGAAGTCCTCTTTTATGAGTGTCCTTAGCAGCTGGACTAAAAAAATACAGTGAAGGCTTCTGTCAAGTGCCATCCCAGGGAAAGGCAGATCTGTAAAACATTATAGTAGTGTGTTCTCACCCTTCTTATTCACTGGATCTGGCACCGTGCAACCACTGGGTCCTCCCTCAAGTCAAAATGACCGTGAAAGGTAAATGTTTTAAATCAATTCAGACATCAAAGCAGTTATGACAGTGCCTGTAGAGACCCACAGAAGAGGACTTCCAGAACTGCTTCAGAGCCAGTGTGGTAGCACATGCCCGTAATCCCAGCACCACAAGTTCGAGAGCAGTCTGGGCTACACAGTAAGTTCAAGGCCAGCCTGAACTACATGAGGAGAGCCCCTGTCACAAACAAACCAACCAACTCAGTAAATAAGCAAATAGAAAATGGCAAGAATGCTGGGAAAAGTGTGTTCAAAATGAAGGGGAATTTTCTGAGGGAGATTAATATGCCTTTGATTGTAATAAATTTTTTAAAATGTGAACTTTTGCAGCAATTTTGATTCACGTTTCTTATGATGGGAGAGGAACTGGAGCAGTTTTTCCTGCCTTTGAGGATGAAAGATCTTGTGCCAGAGACTGTAAGTAATCTCCAGATTCTGGACCAGATTTCCCCCTAGGGTCTCCAGAAAGAGCCTGCAGCTCTTGTCACAGCTTGCATTTGGCACGATGACACCCATGTCTGAGTTCTGACTGAGAATAGTGTAACATAATCCATTTGTGTCGCTCTAAGCAAATAAGGTTGTGCTAATTTCTTATAGCAGCAGTAAAATTAGAGGTTGGACAAGCAGGGACTAGAAGATGTT